GACTTTAAACCCCTATTTAAAAAAAAAAAAAAAAAAAAAAAGCTTTCTATTATACCGACGTTATACCGACAGTATCGACACATTTGTTCACGACGACGATCGGCCGTCATATTCGAAGCTGTCGCTCACGCCGTCGCGCGACTGGTCTATACGCGTTCTCATTGGTCAGTGTTTTTCATTAATAATTCAAAAACTAAGCTTTAATCAGCATTTTGGTAAAGGAAAAAGTTGTTCAGAATCACTCCAGCTACCACCCCCTAAAATTATGCCCACCAGTAGCCGAACACCCTGTATTTATTCTTTACAACGTTTCAATAACAGAGATATACTCTGTTATGTTTCTGTAAAGTCCTCTAAAAGGAAAATTCACGTAAAAGAACAGGACGATAGTATGAACAATTTAGGGATGACCTGATGGTCTGTCATCGGAGTTTCCCAAACATCACAGTAGGTATATGTGCTTTTACGTGACATAAATATAAACATCTGGAGTGCAAATGGGATCGGACGGTTATACGTAGATTTCTAATAATCAACTGCTTTTTATGTTCTTGTAACTTTATTTCGAAACGTAATGTTTTCAAACAAAATCGTTCGTACAAAAAAGTTACCAATCAGTTACATATGATTATATAATTTCGGAACCTTCTTTTATTTTCCCCCTTAGTTTCTTACTGCTGCCTAATTACATCTAAAGCAAATGTGTCCGAAACAGTTTCCCCATAGCTATAATTACTTTTTAATTCTGGATGATGTGGTAGAGCGTATCGTAGTTTATCCCAGAATGACGGGTCTCCCCACTTTATGTATGTGTGCATGTTTAAGTACGCCTTAAGATCTGGGTCGAAGTTATCAGTAACGTTGATTTCACCATACAGAATTAAAATCACTCTTGTTCTACCTTCACTGAGAGCTTGACAGTGTGCTGCTTTGAATTCCATCCGTCCCCAAACGCTATTTATAAAATTAGTTGACAATACTACTATCGTCCGTCTTGAATTTTCGACAGAACGAGCAATTTGGGTTGGTATGTATTCCCCAGCCAGCCACTCACGAAAGTGCACACACAGTTTGAAAGGTCTAGGGCCGTCTTCCAACTTTTTAATAAGCTCATTTACAACAAAATCTTCATCATGATGTGAATAACTGATAAACGCATCGTACAACTTATTCTTATCTAATTCATTTTCTGTTACCAGCCATAAGCAGAACTCGTGAGCATACAACCATACCTTGATCTCTCGTTGGTATCGATAATATAGTGCTATTGCAGTACTAATGATTAATGCAGTAATAATAACAGCGAAACTTACACCTACTATCAATATCATAACGTTGTTTGGACAAACATCTTCCATTCTTATTTTTAGTATAGGAATTTTGATATCTGTACATTCGATCATTGATAAATTCAAAATTCGCTTAGAAGTTTGTGACTGGATAAAGTCTACGAAATCCCTTGAGTCGCAATCACATGTCCATGGGTTACCATGTAGTGTAAGCGTCTTTAGCGTCGTGGAGTTCCTTAAATATTGTATAACTTCTGATTTCAATCTTTTAATGCTGTTATTATGCAGTTCCAAAACCTGAAAACGTTCATTATCAAACTGTTTGATTCTGAACTTACATGTATAAGTAGCATATTGTATAGTTAAAACTATTAATTCGTTAAAAAGTTCATAAAAACGTGTGAAAAGATCTACATCAGCAGAGTTACTTTAGTTATCTTAGATGTAGAAAATACTTTATAATCATATTTCAGATATGATAAAAGTAAGCAAGAAGAGGAAAGTCGCAGATAGAGTGAAATCCACAAAGAATGTGAAGCACATGTGGAAACTGTAGGATACGAATAATTAGTTTGAATGTACGTAGTTATCGTGAATTATTATGCTATTTAGAATCTGCACTGTGGCGTTATATTAGCTTGTTATATTGGAACAGATATAGTTCAGTGGAGAACTGAAATGATAATAGTAACGAACGTCCTCTTCTGTCTACTGAATGCTAAAATTATTTAAAGCATTAGTAAAGCATTAGTAAGTTTAAAGTACACTCTGGTCGCTTAAAGGTCCTCAGTGTTGTGGGAATCGCATAAGGGTAAACACAATAATCAAGCCTATGTTGCGTTCCACACAAGTTTATTAAAATGCGTACGAGCAGTGAAAACGATGTAAGCTACAAGAATGACTCTGATGGACTGTCTCGTCGCTAGTTAAAACCTCTCCTCGAAAACTCATCAGTAAAAGAAGAAAGAAACAGTTTAGAAAGAGAGAAAATATAGAAAGTGGGAAAATCCAGAAAAACCGTTGAAAGTTCGGAAAAGGAGAGGTACAGCGGAAGAGAATCATAAAACAGAAAGTGAAGAGGTTCGCAAGGGCCTGAGCGTTGACACTGACCAGGCCTCGGCGAGACCCTATAGAAAGTGAAAACAATTAGAGAACGTAAAGCTAAAGAAGATAGAAAACAGGAAACAGAATTTTAGAAAACAGAAAGAATATAGAAAACAGAAAAGGCAATGGCGTATGTGGTGCCAAGGGCGCCACAGTGTCTTTGTTAGTTTTTTCTGGGAACGTACGTTAATATAATCGTGACAAATATTAGCATAAATATGCTCATATATAACAATTTCACGTGCATAATAACTAAAATTCAAATTTCCACAGAAACAAATACTTTACATACCTCCACATTCAATGGCAATTCCTTCACAGATACATCGCTGATGTTGTTGTTCGCAAGACGTAATTTCGTTAAAAGCGGAATTCCAATAGATTGATTTATTTCGCTACGATAATAAGGAATACCATTCATATTCGTTGGTACTGCCGTTAAATTTTTGTAGGAGCAATCGATTAAAAATACTTCCTTGTTTGGTATTTTCCAACAAGAACACTTGGTTGGACATGATTCTGATTTTGGACATTTAAAGGTTTTCCATTGTAATTTGCTCACAACTGTACCATTGTACCATTCGTCCACTCTGGTCCATTACACGTCAAGTTTTCTGGCATTATATGAACAAATTGTTGAAAAGCAGGGCGCATTTTTTCGTCCAAGTAATAAAGAAAGTCATACAAATTGCAGTCACATATTATAGGATTATTAGCGACTAATATTTCTATGTGTCCTTTTATTGCTTTATAATTCCCCGTTTCCTCCTTTGTGTTGAGCTGAATGTGTTGGATTTTGTTATGTCGTAGATCCAATGTAATATTACTTTGCATAAATATCAAATCTCTAGTCTGAAAAAGACATATAATACAGAAACTTGAAACACAGAAATACGATACAGGAACTTGAAACAAATAAATAGAATAAAATTGAACACACAAAGCAACGAATAAATATCGTAGAAAATCGACCAAAATATTTATTAAAGCCGCATCTGCGACAGGCATTCACAACCTCCAATTTTGCGATTAAGAATTGAATGTTCTAGTTATACAGGATATTTGAATACGTTACGAAAGAGAACTATCTCTAACTTGTTAACTGAATGATTGTTAATTTTGTAATTGAAAATTTAATAGAAATTTTTAGATTGTGTAGGATGGATTTTCGCAAAGGATAATCGCAAAGGAAACTTCTCAAAGGATTCTGTGGAAAACACAAATAACAACATTTATTCATATTTGGTTTTATACAGCACAAACATAAAATTCCAAAACTGTCTATAAAGTATATAATTTTACAAGTACAATTTTTAAACATAAAAAAATGGATCGGACGAAAACGTCGCTTTCGGAATTTACAATAACTTTGGACAATTTAAACTAGAGGCGTCCGGGAGATTCTTCCGTCTATTCCCTGGAAGGCGACCGGCGGATAATCCAGCCGTTCTTTCCATTCCGAGAACGGCTAGGATAGAATTCCCGTATTGTCCTCATTCGTAAGCGACCGGTGGAAAGTTCCAGCCGTTCTCTCCTACGACCAAAAATTTATCAGGCGACCGGCGACAAGTTCCTGCCGTTCTCTCCCGAAAATGCAATAGACTGGGCGACCGGCGGCGAGTTCCTGCCGTTTTCTCCATACAATCAGGGTGGCTAGTTAAGAGCCCCTGTACTCACCCGTGACTCTAAAAGGCAACCGTGATATTTACTTCGTTCTCTTACTTCCGTTCTTCAGCAAAGAACGGAAAAACCTCGCAGACGCCTCTAGTATAAATTTCTAAAATTATTAAATTGTAAAGTTCGAGCAACAAAAACTATGTTACATAAATTCTTTTATGATTGTATAACATGCAACTTAAAAATTTGGAAATTTGATTTGGAAATTTGTAGTCTTGCTTTTGTAAGAGTCTACTTTTATATGAATAAATGTATTATTTATTTTCTCCAGAAATTTCTCAGTGTCGTTCTTGAGCTATTCTACAACGAACAATCCTATATTACAATGTTGGCGCCAAACGTAAGAGCAGTCCTCAAGACTCCTCCTGCTCGGATGTCCAGGACTTCTTCGACACTGAACTCCAGGACACCATCTCTAAACTCTAAAATTTCACTCTAGGGATACTCCTTTTTCTTTCCTAGTCCAACCATCTACATCCTAACTTTCAAAATTATTGGATTTGTTGAACGCAAGGCAACCTGTCAAGCGTGGCAGGTTTCCGAAATGTACTGCACGTTTCGATGGGCCTACGACTATAGAAAAGTCCGCGCGGTCACATCGACAATTTCCATTTTTTAAAAAGATTGAAAATATTACCGACAAGAACGCTTTAAGAAGTCTATCCCTTCTATTAAAAGGAACGGTGTTCAAAAATGACATTTTATCGTGGCAAAAGGCGATCGAATTATTAAGGTCTACGTTCGCCCCATAACAATCAGTGTATCAGGTATATACAAAGCTGTTCCGATCAACGCAAAAAGACAACATCGCGATGGACGAATTCGTCAATAAAAACGTGCTTTACTCGCGGAACTAACGGAACCACACAGAGAAGAAGTTCAATTTATGAGCTTTTAAGTTCATCACTACGTTCCAAAATCCCGCGAGAGACAGTTTCTAATTTCCAAGGATTTAATCAAGCAGGTTCGAGAAATTGAAGGCTGGGAAAAAGAAACCAGAAACTTCTGTGCAGTGGAACATGTACTCGTGGCTCCATACCTGAAGGATTGTGGCCACTGCAACACTTGTAGACGTTTCAGGCACACAAGCATCCACTGCAGCCAGTGTCGATTCCAGGCTACTTCGACGTCCAATGGAAATACCCTGCGACCACCACCAGAAGTAGAAAAGACCGAGCCACAACGCGTACAAACAGCGATACACTATTATAGTTGTAGAACAGCTGGACTTATAAGGAGTACATGTCCCAACTGCTCGAAAAATACTAACAAAAGTCTAAATTAAGCTGCTTTCTACTTTGTTAATACGGCGACGATGCTGTCTCCTCGTCTCGCCGTTCAGCTATCTGTTGCTGGCGAGTAGGGTCATGCATTCTTGGACTCTGCCGCAATATGCTCCATAGTAAGTCAAATTTTGTATGACTTGCTTAAAAAGAAGGGCATCAAATTCGAACACAAGAAGATGCAAATTGTACTAGCGGACTACTTTTATCGAATTTCCAGAAAACAAAAATAACCGGACTCTGCTGAGGATGGATTTCCAAAATTGAAAATTCGTTCATATACCGGAGACTAACTTTGAATTTATTGAAGAGTCAGAAATTGGGGAAATAATTTCGGACAAGGGACAAGAAGGGAAGCAAGATGCGGTTAACGCAATGGATTGGAAGGAAATCTAAGAACTTGCAAAATCTTCGCCATCGTTATTAAGCTCGATACAAGATGACCACACTACCCTCGATCTATACCTCGAAAGTACCCCAGAGGAGCCGATGCAAATTTTCATTGGAAAAGTTTGAACCGAATGACCTGACTTCGACAAATTGCTCAATAAATGTCTTCGATCCTTCGAGAAATTGTCGACTACTTGCGATCCTACGTCAAGTGTCAATGACACAAAGCCAGTAATCTCAAACCAGTCGGTTTGGTACAAACACTGGTTATGTATTAGAGACTCGAAGTACTGTCAATAGATCTTTTCGGACCTCTGTCAACCACCAAGAGACAATATCACTTGATGCTCATGGTTAAAGACGTAGCTTCCCGTTGATTTGTGTTTTCACTGCAGCAAGCTACAGTCGAATCATGTACCCAAGTGTTAATTAACGAGATTATGCTGCAATATGAGATGCTTTGAAGAATTGTAAGCGATAATGGAATACAATTTATCAGCGGCGTCATGAAGTAGGTCACACTCTGTTTCGAGATCCAACAGAACTTCACATCAGTATACCACCCTGAAGCCAATCCGGTGGAACGCAAAAACCGTGACTTCAAGACTCAATTGGATATCTACGTGGGAACAGATTATACAACCTGGGACGAGAAGCTACCAACGATCTAGAAGCTACTAGACGCTTTTAATGAAGTCCGAGTACCAAAAGTTATGTTCCCTAAATTCTTCTATGATTATATAACATGAAACTTAGAAATTTGTAAATCTGAGTTGGAACTTTGTGGTTTTGATTTTGTAAGAACCTATGTACATTTATAAGAATAAATGTATTATTTTTTTTGTTCAGAAATTTCTCAGTGTCCTCCTTGAGTTAACCTGCAACGGAGAATCCTATCCTACAATATCATTTATTTAATTTTAACGTTTGATAAGCATTATTTCGTACCGAATTATTTAGTAAAGTAGTTATTTTAATTATTCTTAAATTATTCCTATTCTTATACTTTAATTATAAGGTAGTTACTTTAGTTATTTAATTATTCTTTCTCTTATAACTTACCGATATCTGAGGTATGTTGTTGTAACTGAGATTCAATACACGCAGATGTGGTTTGAATGAAAACCAGTAGTGAGATTTCCCCGAGATAATATCCTGTGCTATATGCATCACCCCGAGAGGAGGTACGTCGTCAAGAGATGCTTCGTCAAAAGTGCGGTTTGGAAATATTTCCTCTCCTTCGAAACTTGTTACCGGCGACAACGTGCGAAGAATAAAAATTACATCTTCAAATACTTGTAACTGATTCCGTTCCATATTTAAAACTCTCAATGATTTTAAGTTTTCAAACAGGGTTCTGTAATTTTTACAATAAGATAAATTTGTTGTAAGTAAAATCGGAATACTAAATTATTATAGAAAAAAGTTAGTTGTTTTATCTAAAAATATTTTTTTTTTTTTTTAATTAGTGTTTATAGTCGCATCAACCACTGTTTGGGTTATTAGTGACTTAGTACTTCAGTTTACAGTTTGTTATACAGTTTGGTGTCCTTCAAAAAGTTGAGTAGGTTCTGTGTAGTTTTATCATCCTTCAGATTGTCATTCCATGCGGGTTTTATGTCGTATTTCTGTCTGTCGGCAGCATACTTTGCGCATTGGATGATGAGGTGGTCCACCGTTACACTGACCTTACAAAGGTCGCAGATTGGGGGTTCTTCTTTAGTGAGGAGGTACTGGTGTGTGATTCTTGTGTGGCCAATTGTAATTCTTGTAATGACAACTTGGTCACGTCTTTGCAAGGAGCTGGTGATAATTTTCTTATAAAAATGACCTTTTATTGTTGTTAGTCTAGGTTTACATTGCATAATCCATGTGTTGTTCCAATTCTCTTCCAATTTCTGTTTGACATTAAGGAAGGGGCATTAAGGAAGGGTATTTCGGGAGACGGGTGATTTGTGTAGTGATCAGACATAGAAGAGTTCGCTGCTTCTTTGGCTAGTTTATCCACTATATCGTTTCCCGTGATGCCTACATGTGAAGGAATCCAGACTATTGTAATTTTATTGTTTCTTTGTGTTGATTGAGTATAGGCTAGTTGGCATTCTTGTATGAGGGTGTCGTTTGTCCATTGATTTTGGATTGTGGAGATGGCGGTTAGAGAATCACAGGAGATAGCAAAATTTTTATTTTGTTCGGTAGTAGTGAGTTCGATGGCATGTTTGAGTGCGGTGATTTCGCAGTTAAATATGGTTGAATTTGGATGAAGTTTGTTACTTATTGTTACTTGTTCGTTAATTATGGCGTACCCGGAACCATTTGCAGTTTTTGAACCATCGCACAGTGGCGAAAAACGGCGAAAATGTGGACAAAAGTTAAAAAATCGATTCTGAGATAAATTATTTAAATGTTTTTCGATAAAATGATTATATTAGTGTTACAAATTAATTTTTTGTGTTAAAAATCGAATTTTGATTTGTTAGTTAACTAATATGGTTAGTTAATTAGTACGTATGAATTTTTATCTCGGAAACTATTTCAATTTTTCCGGGTAAAGTTTAACATAATGTTGTTAATTATTTTTTAAATATTATGTTCATCCACTATTATCGGCTGTTTATATGATACTTTAACATTATAAATATGTAAGTTGCACAACAAAATGTTTATTTTTAACAGTGATATAGAAAGACATATAAACCATAGTCATATTTAATGTTTGTATAAGGTAAAAGTTGTGATCTTCACCTCGGTTCACCTACCAAATAGGCTTAAATGAAAGCTGGAAGCTTCCCGAACAAGGATCTATAACAATATCTTGCGGTAATTTGCGGTCTTATGAGTTATTCACATTTATGTTCACGCGCGCGCCCTATTATCATACGTGACAACAGCGGTTTCGGACGTTCTTCAAATATATCGTCGCTAACCTTTGCAAAATGTCTTGTTTTGTAGGTGAGATTTCAATATCCACACCCATATATATATATTATATATTAAATATTTAAACATTGTTAAAAAATTAAAAAAATAAAAATTTATTTGCAATTTCTGATAATAAAAAATGAATTTGCTAATGAAAAAACTATTATTATGATAGTTAAAACATTCAAGTTTAAAATGCAAAAAGATTTAATTAATTTCGATAAATAGTTTCCGAGATAAAAATTCATACGTACTAATTAACTAACCATATTAGTTAACTAACAAATCAAAATTCGATTTTTAACACAAAAAATTAATTTGTAACACTAATATAATCATTTTATCGAAAAACATTTAAATAATTTATCTCAGAATCGAAGATATTAATTTTATCCACGTTTTCGCCGTTTTTCGCCACTGTGCATCGGTATATATGTGCGAATGATTTGAGTAAGAGTTTTTAAGCTCTTGGAATATTGTCTTCAGAAAATTTTGATTTGTTTTTGTCTTATTGTATTGGAGCATAGTTAGATTGGTTTTGATGTCCGGAATGAGCCAAGGAGGAGTAGTATGGACTGCTTTACGTGTTGTGGTCTGAATTTTCATGTCATGTTCTTTTAAGAGGTTCCTTAATCTTTGATAGAAAAGAAGGTGGAATTTCTTCTTTTGTTGTAAGGGTTGATTTTGTTTGAAGATTGCCTGGTGCACGGGGTTTTGTGGAGTGGAGGCGATTTTGGTTGCAAATTTTATGGTTAGTAATTTTCTTCTAACATGTAGCGGTGGTTCTGTTGCTTCGCTGAGGATACCATTAATCGGACTGGTTCGGTAGGCACCAGTTGCTATTCTCAGTACGTTATTGTGAATGACATCTAATTTTTTCAGTACACTAGTATTTGCGGAGTTGAAGATAATTGATCCATAATCTAATTTCGATCTGATTATTGCTTTGTATGTTAACAATAGGATGTTTAGGTCAGCTCCCCAGTTGTTTGCTGCTATTGTTTTGAGGATAGTTAGGCGTTGAAAACAGTCGGCTTTTAGTTTAGTAATATGGTGGTTCCATGTCAGTCGTGAGTCGAAGGTTAAACCTAGTAGTTTTATAGAAGATGTTTCAGAAAGAGTCTGATTGTTGAGTGTTAGTTGGATTTTTATCGGGCGTTGCATTCTATTAAAGACAATTATTTTTTATTTAGAAGTAGAGAGTTTGAACCCTGACGTAAGACACCAGTTCTGAAGCTTGTCTAAAATTTCCTGGAGTAGTACTTGAGAAGTTAGTGGGTTTCTCCCTTTGCTTATTATTGTTAGGTCATCTGCAAATAGTAAGCCTAAGGCTGGGCTTATTATGTTCTTCAGAATGTCATTGATGGCAATTAGGAATAAGGTGACACTTAGGACGGAGCCCTGGGGAACTCCATTTTCTACTACTTTTGTGGAGGAAAGGGTGTTATTGACACTTACTCGGATTGTTCTGATAGCCAGAAAGTTTTTTATGAAATTATATATGTTTCCCTTCACCCCCTGATTTTGAAGGATTCTTAGAATACGATTTCTCCAGACCATGTCATAAGCCTTTTCTATATCAAGGCATACAGCGATTGCATGTTGCTCGTTAGCAAAGGCGTGCAATTGCATGTTGTTTGTTAGCAAAGGTGTCAAGTATTATCGTCTCTAGGTTAATAAGGTGATCGTAGGTTGAGTGGAATTGTCGAAAACCGCTTTGGTGGAACCACCTGAGTCTTAGGTTGACGATTTTCTCCATTAACTTGCACATTGTATTAGTTAAAGCTATTGGCCGATAGTTGTTTGTGTCTAGTGGGTTTTTGCCGGGTTTTAGAATAGGGACAATTAAAGCTTCCCTCCATCTAGAGGGAAAGATGTTGTGTAACCAAATGCAGTTAAAAATTGATAACAGGTATTTAAGAGCAACATCAGGCAAATTAGTTAGGAAACAATTTGGGATTTCGTCAGGACCAGGGCTAGTGTTTTTGCATTTATTCAAGATATATCGAAATTCGTTAAGTTGTAGCGGAACGTTTAGAGGGGATAGTTCTGTGGCGGACCGCCGCCGAAAATTCTGGACGCACGCGAACGCTCGCTTTGCGGCACGAGCGTGAAAGAATATTCGCAAACGCTCGCTGTGCGGCGCGAGCGCGCTAGAACATTCGCGACGAGGCGTGTGCGACGAGGCGCGCGTTAGAACGTTCGCGAAAAACAATTGAGTATATAAGTCGGCCGGTTCGCGAATCGATTAAGTCAGTCGATGTCCAGCTCGCACACCGAATACTCCAAAAGTCAACGCGCGTTTCCATTTCTGTACAAAGTCCAATTTTACAGTTTGTAGTTATAGTTCCTAGTTCATAGTTAATTACTTTAGTCTGTAAATAGTTGAACGTTTATTTTAATAAAATAGTTAAGTTATTTCATCCGCGTAATTAATCCACGCAATCACTTCAGTTCTGTTGTGACTTGCACTGCTCCTGAGGGTTGTGATGAGTTGATGTCCATTTCTTGTTTGTAGATTCGGAACTCTTTCGTGTAGTTATTATCGCTCGAATTTTTTTGGAATGTAGTTGCTAACTCTTCAGAAATTTCGTTTGGATTAGTAGTGGTTGTGTTATCTTCTTTAATTATGGCAGAGATCGTGAATTGGCCGTGAGATTTTTTAAACGCATTTATCCTTTTCCAGATTATGGGCAGTGGGGTGTGTGGATTAAATGATGAGACGTATTCTTCCCACGCTTGCCTTTTGCTAGTCTTGATGGTTTTACGGCATATGGCTCTAAGTTTTTTGAAATTAACAAGGTTTTCAGGTGTTTTATGTTTTTTGTATCTATTGAATGCGTGTTTGCAGTTTGCAATAGCTTTGGAGCATTCCTCGTTCCACCATGGATTAAATTTGATTTTAGAGTTGGGAAGGGTTTTTGTTGTCGGAATAGCTAGGTTGGCAGCGTTAATGATAGATTGCGTGAAAATCTCAAGTGCTACATTTAATGTTTCTGTGTTATTTGGATCTAATTTGATAAATTGGGGAGCTGATTTAATCATTGATTCTCGAAATATTTCCCAGTTGGCTTTATTGATTTTCTACCTTGGAGGTCTGGTGGGCCCACTTCTTGTGTCAGTGTTGTATGTAATCTTTATAGGGAAGTGATCACTATCATACAAGTCATTGAGGACACACCATGTAGTATTTTGCGTAATTGATGGACTGCACATCGATAAATCAGTTGCACTGGAACTGCCAGTTGCGATGCCAAAGTGTGTTTATTTGTTAGTATTTAAAAGATTGAGGTTGGTTGAGTCTATTATTCTTTCGATGATAGAACCTCGTGCATCAGTCTTATGGGATCCCCACAGGATGTTGTGGCTATTAAAATCGCCTAGAATGATGTGTGGTTTAGGTATTTGATTAATTAAATGGGTTAATTCTGTCTC